GCTTGGTACAGCATGCTTAGTGCCTCTGTACTTCACATCCTCACATTATATAATATTTTTATTGGTTTCTTATATATCGCTGTTGTTGGAACAAAACCTCGTATCTCCAAAATGGTAACTTTACAGGAAAAGGAAAAAACCTTCTTTACTTTTAATGTAAGTCAATGGAACCAGACATCTTTCCAAGTCATTTTCGGTTGTTTCTTTTGGTCCATTATTCATGAAATTTACAAACAATGTAAAGGACAACAGACATTTACAAATTATGTGAAAAACTAAAAAATGACAAAAATGGAGAGGTTTTTTTCCGATCAGAAATCTGGGCTCTGGCTTTCAAGTGGGAGGGCCCAGGCCCCCCTCATAGCTACACCCCTGCAGCCAACTGAATACCAATACTGGCTTCATCTGTCCTGGGCAATGCCTGACAATGTCTGCCTTTTATACGCAAATAAATGCACGTACACGCGGATACGCATTCACCCGCGCATACACATGCAAACTCGCTCGCTATCTGTCATGTATCAGAATACTAAAGCTTGTTTGCAGCCGGCCGTGTACATTGTCATTACTTTACACTTACTTACAGCAAATGAATAAGGCACCCGGCAGCATGGCGGAGAGCAGACTCATGAAATGGTAATTTGCTTTCAAGGTAATCCTGCATTCATTGGCTTTTTACCTAACTAATACATACCCAGAGCCATCCTATCATCCACTCTCATCTCCCCGCCCGCATTCTGAACGCATGACAGAACTAATATTTCTCAAACACTCAGTGAGGCACTCGTCTCAGCCGGCCAAAAAAGAAGAAGTAGAGGAAGAAGAAGATGAAGAAAAAAAAACATCCTTGAACGTTTGAAAGGAAGGTTGATGAAAGAGCAAATTGAACATGGAGACAATTGGACTCATTTGTACTATTAATTTGATTTGATTACCCTTTTACTCCATTGAGTCCCTTTCATTGGCAGACATAATAATCATCTCACTTAATTACCCCTCCCCATTTACTGCTCCATCCCATTAGCGTGAGGGAAAACACGTAGAGCGCCACTGTCTACATCCCAGCAAATGCGTTATCAAAATTTGCCTATTAGAACAAATCAATAGGCAATTTACACCTGCACAGGGGAAGTGTGGGTAACATGGGGACAAACACCTGCAACGTACAGAATGTTCGGCCTATTTTCGCTTCAATGAGGGAAACAAACAAACAAAAAGGACAACGGACTGAATATAAGCAAGGAATAGCATTTAAATCCCCCTTAAACGCCGCATGTTGGACTGTACGACTGATAATTCCATCCCCAACCCGACATCCTTCGATGTCCCTCGCGTCTTGTCCCTATCCCCACCCCATCCCCATGTGATTCAACTCCGCCCCCACCCCATCCCCACATCACATAACACTAGAACTGTAGTACTCTAGTCTGGTCAATGTTTTTTAATCGACATGTCTTGGATTCGGCCAGTGGCCAGTTCCATTCTCTGATCTTGACCTAGTCCATCTACTGTTTAAACAATCATTTCTTTCTTTTAACTGGTACCAGTGCATGCTGATTCATGCTCGAAGCACCTCAGGGGTTAAACTGGGCATGCAAAGCTTTGTTTCATCTCAACATCAAATAGAGCTTCGCTCAGATGCTGCTATTTGATGTAAATGCAAATCGTTTCATATCAAATCTGCAGGAAAATCCATCCAAAGAGGGGCTTGCAAGATTTTCTTAACCCCAGAAAAGGGTCACATTAGTTGTGCTCCTTGCTCCTGTAGGTCCTCCTTGTGTCTTTCTGCTGAGTTTCATGAGCATGTAGGTACTGGATTCATGCTATTTAGCGCTATTTCATGATGTTTTCATTTGGTACATTCGTTTAAATTTCATTATATACCTCAATAAGCAGCCTGGCATTTGGCAGGTGCTCTTATCCAGAGCGCTTTTACACAGGTAAACAATGGTAGTGTTAGGAGTCTTGCCAAAGGACTCTTATTGGTTATTATAGAGTGCTTGCCCAGGTGGTGGATTGAACCCCAATCTACAGCATAGAAGGCAGAGGTGTTACCCACTACAAGTGGTGGACGAAGTACACAAACCATGTACTTGAGTTAAAGTAGAGATACCCTTCAAATGTACTTAAGTATCGAAAGTAAAAGTACTAAAAGGTTAATTATGACTCTGATGTACTATTATCATTTTTGTAACAAGACTCGCTTCATTAACTCATTTTAGGTGAAAATACTCCAGTGTCTCTCTTGGTAAACCAGTCTTTTAATAGAGTCATTAATTAGTGACGCTGATGTCTATTAAAATTATCATCAGCACAAAACACTGAAGGCAAACAGTTTCCATCAGGTAGAACTGAGTGGCTCTGAAATCACTTTTTACAAACAAGCAAAGTTTCAGTTTAAGATTTATTTGCAACTTAGTTACAAGTTTAAGTTTAATAAAAACTTCAAAGAGTTTTCCTTTACTAAACTGCATCTGTAGGTCTCTGTTCATAAACATAAACTAGACAAAACTAATTTACTATAAAATGAAATAGTGTTTGTATAAATTCAGAAAAAAGACACGTCAGTCACAACTGCATATGAGTACATATTTCTATATTGTGGTCTATTTACACAAAGTATTGCCTGCTAATCTAATGTAATTTGGTTGGAAAGAAGGAGTTTTCAGTAGTATATGAAGAAGATTTCCAAAATCTGTTATACTGTAATGAAGTAGGCAGTAAAGTAAAGCACAGAGGCGAACTCTGTTTTCGCACTGAACTCTCCCCAGTCTCTTAAAAACAGGAGGCAGCTGATCCAAGCAGGTAAACGGACATGAAGCAATCTTTATCGTAAGATGACTGGCATCGTTGTTTGGAACAGTATGTTTTTAAAGGCTTTAGTTTGACTTTCATCTTTGTCAGAAATGATTTAGAAGATATCTTGATACAATTCTTTTGAACCACACCACATTTGTGTTTGTAGAAGAAGATGTATTTTTTATTTTTCATATTTGTACATACAGGTTTGTTTTGCGGAGAGAAAATCCTTCCTTTACAGTTTTCTAGTAAGAACTACTGGAAGGAGAAAAGGACTAACTGAGGCTTGGTCTCAAAGGGGACTTGATTTTTTGGGTTTTGGTTTGATTTGGTCTCACTTTCATTTAGACTCAGTCTTGACTTGGTCTCACTTTCATTTGGATTTGGTCTTGACTTGGTCTCACTTTCATTTAGACTCAGTCTTGAATTGATCTCACTTTCATTTGGACTTGGTCTTGACTTGGTCTCCTTTTATGTAGATTTGGTCTTGACTTGGTCTCACTTTCATTTGGACTCGATCTTGACTTGGTCTCCTTTTATGTAGAGTCAGTCTTGACTTGGTCTCACTTTCATTTGGACTTGGTCTTGACTTGGTCTCCTTTTATGCAGACTCAGTCTTGACTTGCTCTCACTTTTATTTGGACTCGGTCTTGACTTGGTCTCACTTTTATGTAGAGTCAGTCTTAACTTGGTCTCACTTTTATTTTGACACGGTCTTGAGTCTTGCTTTGATTTGGATTCAGTCTTGACCCAGTCTCAACAAGTCATGGTCTTTAACTTGTCTTGGACTCAACAATGTTGGTCTTACTTGAAGCCCTACTCAACATATTCCCTACTATCCCCATAAATAGAAGTATGATATATTATATCATCACTCTAAAGCTGATTTCACAGCAGAAGCGACTCTGCATGAGTGGTAAGCTGAAACCACTTTGTGACACTTATTACTTCACACCAGAGGTGAAAGCGGTTTCAGTTTCATTTGCATTTTCACGTAATATAAACATCTTTATTGCAGGTTAATTGCTTACATAAACTTATTCAACATAAAAATATCAACAATAAAATAGCCTGACTTGCTGTCACGACTCTTGTTAGCTTTCTCATCATGTGATGTAGAGCTTTATGAAGAGGGGGAGATGCAAGTGGGTTCACAACATTAACCTACCTAGAGATTTCTATCACATTTGTATGTATCAAAGAGTTAAAACTAGATTTATTGATTTGTGTATTAGCTTAGTTTGTACATTACAGCAAAAATACTGCATTATATTACTATTACCACATGCAGTATGTGTCAAAAATTTTTGAGGCACACAGCATGGTTACTGCGTCTGGTCTGAAATAGGCTTATAGCAGCATATAAATATAACAGAACACCTGAAATGTAAAAATCTGTCCTTATACTTTTGCCCAAATTCTCATCTGCCAAACTTTATTTCTTTACTGTCATTATTGTCCAGACACACATTAGAACTTTTCTTAGTTGTTTTTTGTCAGTATCACAATATGTGTCTTATGTCAACAGATTAAAAGAGTACCGTTTGAGTGTGATCTCAATAATACCCATTTCACATCAACAAAGATTTATTATTATTTATTATAGGTTTATTTTTCAGACAAAATTATCTCATATTATCGACTACACAGCAAATTAAATGACTCACCAATGAACAAACAGAGGTTTTGCTGTCTGTGATCAGCTGATGGTGAAGCATAACTACACAGACAAATCAAAAACTAAAGTTTTGAAAGCTGTTTTGTTGTTTGAAATGGGTAGAAAACAAAATCTCGTCTGTCAGACTATCGTGTGTCATCTAATCATGTCTGGAGCTTTACATTCAAAGCATGCAGACGGGAAATGATGACTAAAGAACCGGGATTTCGAGGTAACAGCGGATTGCTGAAGTGATTGAAGTGTTTCAATGGTTGCTAAGCAGTGATTGGAGGACTAAGAAAACAAAGTATAAGATAGGTATCCAAATGAGATGGTCTGAGAAAAAATGGCGAGTTAAGCGTATAGAATACCTTAAAGATTATCTCCATTCCCGTTTTCACTGCAGTGTTACTGCTGTCCTCATTCCAGTGCAGTGCTTTACTTCAAAGTAGTAACTGAATCATTTGCAGTAGTTACTGAATTTTAAGCCCACAGGTTAAAAGGCTAAAAGACAATGATGCTCAGGTTCTTATAGAACTCTTACCTCCAGTATGTCTCTCATAGATGAGCAGCGTTCCGTCCCGCAGACCAGCAAACAGGAAATTAGCGGTGTGTTTGAGACACAGCACGGGGCAGCCCGTGTCGTTCCGGATGGTCAGGAGGCACTGGGCTGAAGTGTCCATGCTGCCATAAACCAGGATACTACAGGACAGAACAGAAGAGAAGTCAGGCTTTGTTCTCACAGCATTTGGACTCTGTCTTGGTCTTTGTTTCCGTTTGAGACGCTTTCATATGTGGTACTGAAATCCGATCCGTATCCGATCTACAGCAATGCGACTCAGTCTGAAGAGCCAGATCAGAATTCATGCGACTTTTACGTCAGTCCAACTCGATATTCGTCATAATTTCTCGCTGCTGAGACTCAAACCTTTAGGCTGATGTTTCTGTACCAAAAAATTAGAAGAGACTTGTCAAAGAGATTTTGACAGAAGTGACTGAACGTGGCTGGAGACGAACGAACGAGGCTGCAGCAAGGAGGGAAAAGTCTGAATGCAAAGTTTGAAGAATCTGAGGACACAAACCAAATAAGTGACCATGGTCGAATAACATGCCCCTTTTTACGCTGACCTCAAACACATTCTGGGTGATAAGCTGAGCTGTCAGCCATCAGAGCTTCATAATCGCTCCTGTGATGCTGGAGTAAACAAAGCTAAAACCTCTGGAAGCAGAATTCCATTTGTTGGCAGTGATAATTGTTCACCTCTGGATGAGCCACCTGAAGCATCGTTCTTTTGCACATGTGAGTCAGTTTAGGAGCTGATCTGTTCAGACTGATGGCGCACAGATCATGTTTAAACGATATTGTGAACAGCCAAACAAAAAAAAAAATAAAATCGGTTTTGGTGAGAAAATCAGGTTTGGGCCACTTTTACCTGCTGTGTGAATGCAGCCTTAGTTAGCAGTTGTCACTGCTGCTAACAACAGCATGTTAAATTTCACATGAATTACTTTGTAGCTCATTAAAACAAGCAAAGAAACTCGGTAGAAAGTAAAGATTCTATTTCTAAACGATTAATCTGTACCATATTTGTGTTTGTAAGTATAAGTGGAAAAATGTTATTTGATTTTGATGAAAAGTTATTATTCTGCATACTGTCCATGTAGAAAAATGCACCCGTCAGATTTTTTCCACATCGACACAAACAAAAAAAGAGTGCGGACTCAAACCTGTTGATTAAGAATGTAAACTGAATGTAAATATAATTCATCATACCTATGTAATTAATTATGTTATGACCAGTGGGAAATCCTCTGGACTTTCTCCAGCCCAATTTAGATGCTTTGCAGGTGCTTATTTTGCATTAAGTGAAAGACGTCAAAGTCAAAGTGAACTTTATCGTCACTTCATCTCATCACAGATGTGCTGAGAGAGGAACGAAATGTAGTGTCACCATGAAACAACAACATTTAACACAGAACAGCAACAGACAACAGTGCAGAAAGACAAATACAACAGATACAAACACTAAACAATAAACTCTCCTCTGAATATACAATAACTGCAACTGTACAATTGAGAAAACAGACCAGCTGTTGGTCCACAGCGGTGACCGCAATGACAGTTCTGTGTGTGTTTATCAATCAACTTAACATCTATTCAATTCACCTTAATGTTCCCAAACCTTAACCTTAGCCCTAACCCTAATGCTAACCTTAGCCTCAACCCAAAACCTAAACCCCACCCTGGCTCTAATTCTAAGCCTAACACTGTAGAGAACAAGTATGTTAATACTTTCAGCACCTGTAGAGAATCTGTTGGGTGCTATTAAAATAAAGTGGGGCCAAAATACAGTAGGGTCCAAAAGTCTGAGCCCACTTGTAAAAATGCTTCTATTTTGAAATCTTTTCTAGTTTAATAAAAACATTATCCTTAGAAATTCTATTCTCAGCACAACAACTTGAATGAAAAGCAGAAGCTTTAAAATTCTGATTTTTTTAGTGTTTGATATGTTCCCCCTTTAGCTTTAATGACAGGGTGCACATAAGCAGGCACCACAGTTTGTGCAAAAGTGCTGAATCGTGAATATGAGCTTTAATGGATGACATAAGACTAAAAAACAAATCTGAATGTGTTGTATAAAGGCCTCAATATGGTCAGTGTCACAAATTTGCTTAGATTTTAATAGTGACCTAAGAATAGCACAGACTCTTGAAGATTTCTTATGTATTCAATATCATATCTTATATATTTAATATTATATAATATATTCTTATATAACATTTGCTAGTCATAATTTTTTTTAGTTTTCAAACTTTTCAAAAATCTACAACTTTGTGTTGTTTATTTACAATTAAAACATTTTTGGACTCCACTGTACGTGTATGTAATTTTTTAATATGTATGCTTATTTTTTTTGATAGAATCATCATTAATGCTGTTTAAAACTGCAAATATAAGAACTGTAGTACCACTTATGCCTTACTGTCAAGGTTTTATTGGTAACAATGCAATTAAGCTCTTGAAACACCCAACAGAAAAATGTCCAATCAGTTTTTACCTCCCCATGGTATCTACTTAGAGACCAAAAAAGCTATTCCATTGGTTTGGACTTCAGGAGGTGGACAGGTTAAATTAACTACCAGCATAATTAGAAAGTGACAGCAGAATCAATAATTTCCTGAGAAAAAACTTTATACTTTCAGAAATAATACCTTTAAACTGTCTCTGGGTCAGTTCCCCTCTTGTCACTGGGGTGGAACCCTCAAGGCTACATCTCAGTACCTTCAGTCAGGGAACATAACTGAACCATAATCCACTGAAATGATATGTTCTAAGCTGTACTGACTCCACACACCCCGTCTCGTCTCCAGGCTTTTATTTTACTGTTCTGTTTAAAACATTCGGTTATGAAAAGGTACAAATACGAACTTTTCACCTGGAAAAACTTATTTAAGGTTCACAATCAGACCTTAAAACCACTGTTGGAGCTTTGAGGGAACATTTACACTGTTTGTACCTTGATGAACGAAAAATGTACCTGAACAGAACCTTTATTTCTACCAGTGTAGGCCTTTTGGAAGAAATGGAAAACAGTGGCAGTTCTATTCAAGGGCTCTTCACTGAATAACTGTAAGACTACAACAAACACAATCAAATATACTGGAGCATCGTGCAGAAGAAGAGTCAGGAGAGGCCATGATTTCAACTTCAAACAAACAAAACTCCTACTAGAAAGTTCAAAGTCATCACTCGTGAAAAAGTAACTGCCTCCTAGAATTAATAACTGTTTCAGCAGCAATCAAACGCTTTCTGTATCTGGAGGACTCTCACATTTAGGGTTCTGCCAATAGCATCTCAGAGGGGAGTCATTTAGAGATGGACTCGCTCTTGCGCTTTGAATCGTTACCTCAGATCATGGACTGATAACTGGACATTTCTGGTAGGGAGCAGAATTCAGGTACCATCAATCATGCCAAATTATCCAGGCCCTGAAGCAGCAAATCATCCCCAGACCATCGCACTACCACCACTGTTTGATCGTTAGATTGATGTTCTTAGTGTACTGGTTTTTTTTTTTTTTTGGTTTTACACCAGATTTTAACTCATCTGCATACAGAACATTATTCCAAAAGGCTTAAGAGTCAACAAGGCATTTTTAGGCAAATGTCAGATTTGGCAAATGTGAGCTTTCATGCTGCAGCTCTTCTATGGACACCGTTTTTGCTCAGCCTCTTTGTAGTGGCAGAATCACAAACACTGACTTTATTTAAGTGAGGTCTCCAGTCGCTGTGCTCTTAGAGGTATTTTGGTAGGCCAACCACTTCTGGGAAAATCAGCACTGTTCCAAGTTTTCTCCATTTTGGAGAGAATGGTTCTCAGTGTGGAGTCCCAGCGTCTGAGAAATGGCTTTGCAATCTTTTCCAGACTGAAATATTTCAATAACTTTCTTTATCATTTCTTCTGAAATTTCATTCAAGCCCTGCACAGTGGGCCACCTGCTGAGACCTTTTAGCCTAATTCACATTGCAGGAAAGGTTTTAATTAAGTGATGTTTAGATTCAACAGGGCCGCCAGTATTCAGTCTGGAGCAGCTTTTTGGATTTTTGGGTAAAAATAAAATAATCCTCCTTTGCAGTAAAATAAAGCTCTGCTGATCGTTCTAACCCTGAAGCTTGGTGCGCAGACTGCTAGTCACCATAGCAACACAGACAACAGATCTCGCATAGCTAGTAACTAATGAAAAGGCAAAGAGAAAGATTTAAAAGGAACATTGATAATTTGGAGATGAATGGATTTATTTACATTTAGAATCTCTCCAGCTGGTTTCCTGATTCATTTAATCTGCAATGAACTGTCAAGCACAAGTCAGTTTCTTGTTTGCCAGCTACTCATTTGAATTTTCCCGTTCCACCTTAAATGGTGCAACAGTTAGCTACATAGTTAGTTGGCTACATCCTGGTGCCTCAGGCACCATTTCAGGTGGAACAGGAAAATTCGAACAGGAGCAGGCGAATGAGAAGCAACTTCATAAAAAGTCGAACGTTGAGAGACATTTTACAAGAAACTGTTCTACTTTTGTGGAAAAGTTTCCTGCCGGAGATGTGAGAAAAGCGGCTACAGCTGAGCAAAAGCTTAAAGCAGAGGAAAGTGAGTCTGCGTTTTCATTTATATCATATTTTTTTACTAAAACATTAGCACACACTGAGACACATTTACAGCAAAGATGGTGAAACATTACTTCAATAAAATGGACATTAAATGTTGTGGCTCCCAAGTTGGTTAGAAACTTGACAAAACGGCTCTTCTTAACATTGGGGTTGCTGACCCCTGATGTAGTTTAATTGATCCCAATTATCAACTTCATTTGGTTAAAAGGCAAGGGGCTGCGGGGGGGGCCAAAGTTTTATTACACACTTCTGTTACTTAAAAATAGTTAAACCAGGGCTCCCGAGTGGCGCAACCGTCTAAGCGTTGGCCGTATCATCAGGAGATCGCGAGTTCGATCCCTGGTGATGCTACAGCCGTCTGTAGCCGGGAGTCCGAGAGAGCACAATTGGCCTCACTCTCTCTGGGTGGGTGGGACGGCTGCCCTTCTCCCCCATCACTCACTAAGCGCGATGCAAGTCAGCGCAGGTGTCTGTTAGCTGACGTAACAGATCTGGCGGTTGGCGCTTTCCTCCGAGCGCGTTTGGCTGTCCAGTGACGTTGCGTGAGAGGCAGGTCTCGGAGGAAGCCTGTGTTAGCCTCACCCTCCTACCGTTGATAGCGTCGTGTGTGATTGGGGGAGTCCTAACTAGCGGGTGGAATTGGCTACGACTAAATTGGGGAGAAAACCGGGTAAAAATTAAAAAAAAAAAAAGTTAAACCAAGTTCCCGAAGTTACTGAATAATAAGCCTTAGTATGCAATAAGCCTGGGATTTTAAGGGGTTAATTGATCAACTAGGGGGCAATTACTTTTTCACACAGGGCCAGGTGATGAAAGAAGAGAAATGAAATAACCATTTTTGCATTTTGTGTTTCCTCAGGTGGTCTATTCTGTTTGAAATATCCAAAAATAGAAAAAAAAAAACAGGTACGAGTTCTTTTTCATGATAGCAATAATTCCAGACTTCAAAGGGTTAAGCATCATTTTGCTGGACCAGCTGTTCTGAAATACCACACTGGTAGCCACGGCGTGTTTCAACTCCAAAAAGAGCACTGTCTGCAGCCTTTTCATTTCACAGCCGTGCAGGCATTTGCTCAAAGAACACCGAATTTCAACATCAATGCATGTTCAGACTGACAATGCACTGTTACACTACCATCACTTCATTGTTATCACGACAAAAACCTCCAATCTCAAAAAGCGCTACCTTTCAGGAGAGAAGAAAAGCTGCTTTTTACACCGATTTCATCTAATTAGCATGAAACTTCAAGGTGTTTAAAGCTGATTTTTTTTCACTTCCATAGCTGCACATGTATGGAGAGCATAAAAGAGAACCAGTTTTCATATTCTGTACAAAAAAAGGCAAATGAGTAAAAATCAGTCAAAACCGAGGTAGAAGATTGTCACGCAAGAGTGTTTTCCTTTAGCCAAAGTGATTCTCCCACTATTCCGACCCATAGCGAATGGCTTCAGTAAGGGAAAACACCACGTTCACAGTTTCATTTCTGAGACGGAAATAGATCTTTTCTTTCTGCTCAGACGTTTGCTGCCATCGCCGCGCTCAAATCGACCCCGTCTCAATTTCTCCACAAAAGGCGCGCAAACCTATTGCGAAGTTAAACCAGATAAACAGTCCTTTATCTGCTGAATACCACCAGATAAAGCACAATAAAGTCAAATGTTGTGGTTTATAGAAATATTCGCTGTCAAACTTTCTTTCTAGAGGTTCTTAAAGGAGACAGAACAAATGCGTGGTATTCAAGGCACAGCGGAGGCTTTATTATTTGATGTGAAACTGTAAATAGTGAGAGCCGATTTGTAGAGAAGACAATCGATAAAGCACGCAAATATTAAGACAACTCGCTCAAAAATAGATTTTTCCAATTAATTTGTTCAAAAATAGAAACAGCGTTTTAAAATGTTATATTTTTATATTTCTCACTGTCGCTGCTACTGTCCGACTTTGAAATAGACTAACTAGCCACTGTCAGATGCCAGAGACATCTTTATCCTGTAGGTTAAACACTGTTATTGACTAGAAATGATACTTTTCAGCCAACTGTACTGTATCTGTCAGCATTCCAACAGTCACTCATTCAAGGTTTACAGCCACAACAAAAAAGCTCCAGATCAGAAAACTAGCTAGTTAGTCTCGCTGTATAATCCAGCTGTGCTTAAGCATCAGATCATGGACTGTTTTGGCTTTACACCAGATTGTGACTCATCTGCATACAGAACATTATTCCAAAAGGCTTAAGAGTCAACAAGGTGGTTTTAGGCAAATGTGAGCTTTCATGCTGCAGCTCTTCTATAGACACCATTTTTGCTCAGCCTCTTTGTAGTGGCAGAATCACAAACACTGACGTTATTTAAGTGAAGTCTCCAGTCGCTGTGCTCTTAGAGGTATTTTGGTAGGCCAACCACTTCTGGGAAAATCAGCACTGTTCCAAGTTTTCTCCATTTTGGAGAGAATGGTTCTCAGTGTGGAGTCCCAGCGTCTGAGAAATGGCTTTGCAATCTTTTCCAGACTGAAATATTTCAATAACTTTCTTTATCATTTCTTCCAGAATTTCTTTCGAGCACGGCACAGTGGGCCACCTGCTGAGACCTTTTAGCCTAATTCACATTGCAGGAAAGGTTTTATTTATGTGATGTTTAGATTCAACAGGGTCGCCAGTATTCAGTCTGGGTGTGTCTAGTTAAATGGTCAATTATCAAATATCAGCTAGGGTTATTATAAACCTGCTGGTGAGCCCAAAGTTTTATTACACACCTTTATAACCTAAGAACAGTTCCACCAGTTTACATTGGAGTTCCTGTAATTACTGAATAATAAGACTTCGTATGAAATACGTCTGGGAATTTAAGGGGTTAACTGATTAACAGAGCCAGTTGGTGTTGGATATTTTTTTTCTTTCAATAAATGAGATGATCTTTTTTGCATTTAGGTCTTTGTCTTATAGTAAATTCGGCTTGAAATATCCAAAAATAGAAAAAAATCAAGTACAAATTCTTTTTCATGACAGCAATAACTGCAGACATCAAAGGGTTTAACTAGCTAGTTAGTTTTCTATACTCCATATATGTCATAACTCCAATGATCCAACTCACAGATGACTTGGACAACGTTGATTATCTTGTATGGGAGAGACGGGCAGACGTGAAGACTTAAACGACTTTGATAAGGGTCAAATCCATATGGCCAGGTGACGGGGTTGAGGCATCTCAGAAATGACAAGACTTGTGGGGTGTCATTGTGGTAAGCGCAGACTTGGCAACCTTGGGAAAATATTTTGCGAGGCACAATTGTGTAACGCTTTAAAGATCAAAAACCTTTGCTTAGCTTAGTCTTTTCCCAACTCCCGCCATATCATCAGGCTTGCTTATTCAACAGGTCTGCTGCTCTCAATCCCCATCATTGTCCTCCTCGGCTGATGTCATGTTGTGTGGCCAATTTGTAGTCCTGGCGACAACCACACTCAACAAAAAATGACGACTACGTTTGTGTCCGCTTGGGTGTCGCAGACCTTGTCAAGTACATCAAAAAATCTAAAAAAGGGTGCAGATGATGTCGCGCACTCTGACTGGACAGAAACTCAAAGTTCCACGTTGTGGAGTTCACTGTGTGCAGCTGTGTTTATTTCTTGCTGAGACTTCTCCACTTGGCACACGCTGCCCATACAGCAGCGAAGCAGCAGAGACAGAACGGGTTGCCAGTTATTCAAAGCTAGGATCGATATACATTCATAAGACGATTCGTTTTCATTTTCAAACCTTTTCCCGCAGCTGCAGTTCATTTCGAAAGCTGTCCAAGCAGAAAACACAACCCACGACAGTGTAACTTCCACCTGCAGCGCACTTTCAGACTAACCTGAATTTTTGGGAAAATTGTGAATCTGGCAACCCTGTGTGACAAGGAAGCTCATGAGTGAAAAACACTAGTGTGGAAAATGAGCAGTATTTCTGGAACCAGCCAGATGGAGAGAGTAAGGTGAATGAGAGGGATAAAAAAGCATTTCGTGCTGCTATCGGTTCGCCGTCTCTTAAATTAACTGACATTACGCATTTGTCATGCCCGGGGAATGAACCCAGCACTATTACGGATCGTGAACCCACGACTGTAGCCTCTCACTCTCGCTCATACAGCTTGTGGATTCTTGTTACAGTGAAGGCTGTTGAGGGGAACTGGAGCTTTGCACCTTGGTGTTGCTTTTGTTAGTTTGCTGCTCATTGATTTATCAATGGTTCGCTTGCAAAGCACTATTCAGCACAGTTTGCTGAAGGTGCTCGATATATCGCTTTAAAGGCCATTTCAAAGCTGTATGGGTATGAAGAATGCACTGCCCGCACTACAGGGATGGTTTGAAGAGTCAAACTAGAAAAATAAATTTTGTTAAAAGTAAAACATTTGTGTCATAAATAATGTATTGAAATTAACTTGGACGTACACCTTTTTCACTTTTTTACACATACTAAGTTTGAAACAGTACTCCACTTTTGTCTCTACTGTCTTGAAATACATGTAAGAGACCTTTATACCCAATTTGTTATTTAAAGAGATACAAATTCGAAGCTCAACCTGAACTATGCTAACGTTAGCCTGTTTCTTTAGTTGTATGCTGGCCGAGGCATGTACAAAGTGGTTGCCACACTCATTACAAGTGTGTTCCATTCCTGTTTAATGTGTATTACGAACAGCATTAATGAGCACAGCAATGCTAGCTGGGTTAACTAGCTTATTCTTACCTGCACTATGTAGTCTAAATGCCACATTTTGTGTTGGCCACCAGATGGCATTATTTCACATTTTACTTTTGGTTTATGTTTCACTAATTAAAAAAGGATGATGTAGCTGTAAAATATAATTTATATAGATACTGTAACAACTGACCCTGATGGAAATGTAAAATGTAGACATTAATAAATTTAAAATTTGAACATAATATGAAAACACAAGCACTTTCACCACTAAACGATCATAGTAATTTGTAACTGCTTGTATTATTTTCATGAATTTACATCTCTCATGTCACTGGTTTATTTTGGAAATATATTTAGACCAATGTGTTTTTTTGGGCAGTACAGTGTTTGCATGCTGCCTTGTTGTATGCTGGCCAAGGCACATACAAAGACTCACACTGTGGTTGCCATACTTATTTGCTGGAGGCAAATAAAACTGCATCATCCCAGTCTGGTGTCCATTACTGGCCAGGGTGGACGAACACCCAAAAGAAGGGTCACATATACACAGTACTGAATGTGGGGAATCAAACTGCACTCTTTTCTTGTAATGACACTTCTGCAAACATGGGTTATTCTGACTCTAAATGATGAGACTGGTGACCCTGAACTCCATACCTGCCATCGTCCAGCCCCACACACACAGTGTTCCCTGCAGCAGTGGAGCTGTGGAGCGTGTGGTGATCCTCCTCAGGTGAATTCAGCTCTGGGACAAACTCCAGACAGTGAACTGGAGATCCAACCGGAACACTCTTCACCCACCGTGGAGTTGGACGGTTCAGAGAGAAAATCTCCACTTGGGACTGACCACTTTCATCTCTACTGGCCACCTAGAGGAGAAATCGTGGAGACATCACTGACTGGGAAGGTCATCTGACAACTTAAAGAAGACATATTTTATTTGTTTCTGTCTAGAATTGTAAATATCTAAGGGGAATCTTTCTCCCCCTGTCATTTTCTTAATTGTGAAGAAAGAGAGATTAATAACGGACGCAGTTGAGGACAGTATAGTGAAGCTATGCATGTTTGAACAAGACTCCTTCAGTTTGTTTATACTGAGATAGATATATGGCAGATATAGTCATAAAATCATAAACATACAGAAATATTTCATTCAAAAACCTTTTCATTTGTTTTATAAACCTTTGCTTTATACTTTTGTTACTTGATGACTAAGACCATGTACCCCAGGATTTGCAATGTTAGGTTAGCGACAGGCTAGTGGTGGTGTATATCCATATACATTTCAGGGGTCACAACCCAAATGTTAAGAAGAGCAATTTTGTCCTTTCAACAAAAATTAAACCACCTTGAGAGCCACAATCTATTTTAGCATAAATACTAGTATTGGCCAAAAAATACAATATAAACAAAAATGCAGACTTACTTTGCTCTGCTTTAAGCTTTAGCTCAGCTATAGCCGCTTTTCTCACATCTCCAGCAGGAAACTTTTCCTCAAAAGTAGAATATTTTCTTGTAAAATGTCTCTCAACATTCGGTTTTTAAGAGGCTGAAGTCCCTTCTCATTCACCAGCTTCTCATTAGAATTTTTCCGTTCCACCTTAAATGGTGCCTGAGGTGCCAGAATGTAACTGCTGCACCATTTAAGGTGGAACGGGACAATTTGAACGAGAAGCTGGCAAATGAGAAACTGACAACAGCCTCATGACTTTTTAGTGTTTGGCCATTTCCCGCTGCAGATTAAATGTATCAGGAAACCAGCTGGAGTCCGTCCTTGGTTTAGAACCAGAGCAAACAAACACTGGAAGTCAATAGTATCCCAAACCATTCATGTAAATAAGCACCCAAAACTTCTCTCGACCTGCTCAAACCACATCCAGATCACACAGACAAGTCAATGAAGTTTAAAGTGAAACAAAACACCTTTTGTAGGTTTATCATTATTCAAAATGCAGCTTTTAACTATGTATTAGAAGAGGTATTACTATGCTAACGCTACATACTGCATAGTGATGTTTTACAACTGCCTTTCAGAGTTTAACAGAACCAGTGAGCAAGATGTTATGTGAATGAAAAGGTAGTTCCAGTTTTAGCTTAAATGTGTAAATAAGGTCTATTTAAGCCATTTTACCAAATTCTTTTTTTTCTAAATGAGTTTCAGTAGCTTATCACGTAACTTAAAACCAGTACATTAAGATTTTTGCAGGTCTTGGTGCAAATGGTTTATTTTCAGTGCTTATTAGCACCGTTAGCCTCGCAGCTCCAGTTCTAAACTAAAGAAGCAAAACTACAACATCAAACTAGTCTTAGAAAATCATGTATATTTAATTTTTTTGCCAAAAACGTCCTTCAAATACTGACACTGATGCATAACAGACATTCAAGTAATGTACTTGTTATTTTAGATGTTGTAGTTTTACAGTGACTACTTTAGATTTAAACTTGAGTCTAACTTGAAACATTATTAGAAGAGCTCAAGATCTGGTCTAGTAATAACATAATATGGTCCAGCGAGCCTGCAGAGAGCCTGTTAATATTAAAAAGCTGTCTGAATCTGTCACTGACACCGAACTGTGGTGTTATACAAATCAAGTCAAATCAAATCAAATCACATTTATTGTCACATCACATTTACACTGGTGCGAAGGTGAGTGAAAATAGGTGCGTAGCCCCCTTGTAGAAGTTAAATACAAAAAAATACATATCTCTGTTGTCGGAAGAAAACCTCGTATCTCCAAAATGGGAAATTTATAGGAGAAGGAAAAAAAACATACTTTACTTTTAACGTAAGTCAATTTAAACTTTGTCAATGGACTTTTTCCCAAATCATTTTTGGCCATTTCTTTTAGTCTGTTCATCATGAAATTTGCATACAATGTAAAGAGCAGCAGGTCTTTTCAAACTATGTCAAAAACTGAAAAACGACAAAAATGGAGATACGGTATAAATATATACACACACACAATTTCCAGTGTACAGTTTTGCACGGTAATATGTTATGAAACAAAAAGCTATGATAAATCATTTAAACTAATCAAATGAATCAATCACCCACTGCAGAACTGACTCTGTGTGTTCTTCCTTTCTTTCCTTTGCCGAGTTGAACAGCTGCCCATCCTGTGCGTCTGATGCTGCTGCCTCTTCTGCCTTGATCGGGTGCCACTGCTCGCCGTGCAAACCTCACCCCCACAACCTGACCCCACTGATGCTGCTGCTGCTGCTGCATGAACTAAACTAATCAAATTAATCGTTTGCTCCACCTGTTTTCCCCGTTTTTGTACTAACAATGTTTAACTATCCGGTGTTGACCAGAGGAGGATGGGTTCCCCTTCTGAGTCTTGGTTCCTCTCAAGGTTTCTTCCTGTTTCTCTTAGGGAGTTTTTCCTTGCCACTGTCACCACTGGCGACGCTCATGGGGGCTTGGACCCGGATTTCTTTCTGTAATGCTGATTTCCTTGTAAAGCTGCTTTGTGACAACACCTGTTGTAAAAAGCGCTATATAAATAAACTTTACTTACTTACTTACTTTATATGTACAGTTCTACACATTTCCAGGTACATTAATATTACATGCTATATAACATTAATGTACATGGAAATGTGTAAAACTGTACATATCATAGCTTTTATTTAAACTGCATTACGCTATTGAGCAAATACACAAACATGGTCATCCAACATCAGCAGCTGACCTCACTAATGCTCTTGAGGCTGAATGCAATCAAATTTTCACAGCAATGTTCCAACATCTAGTGTAAAGCCTGTCCAGAAGAGTAAAGGCTGTTGCTGCAGCAAAGGAGGACAAACCCCCTATTAATACCTTGGTTATCATTAAAAACATGATGAGCAGGTGTACAAACTTTTGAATATATAGTACAGGTTTCCCTCTCTCGACAAAAAAATTTTGATTTGATTTGGAAGAGCGAGAGACAGAAAAAGACAGATAGAGAGAGAGAGATTAAATTATTTATTAATCCTCTAGAAGCAGCCAGATGAATTCTGCAGCTTTATTCAGTGTTACTCCTCTCCTCCACTTCACTTCCCTTCGTGCTCGTACTTCCAATGCTCTAACCCGCCTTGATCAAATTTCAGATGGCAGAGAACACTTCCTCTGCTGTTATTCCTCTTAGCCACGATATTTCTACCTGTCAGCAATTTCAATTTCAAGGGGGCGAGAGTAAAGTTGAAATCAAATATCCTTTCAAAGCGCGTCCGTCTGCTCTTAGATATCTCTCAAATTCAGCGCCGATCGGCCCTAATGGATTCACGGTGTCAGCTCAATAGCTTCAAAACATTCTTCCTCAAAACTCCCATCTTTTCATCACTCAAGCAAAGAGATCGGGCGGCGATGAGAGGGAAGGACGGCTTCTCGGAGGTTTTCCTCAACTTCTCGACAATGTAAGACTGATGACTGATTGACTGTTTAAGCTGGAGTCTGAAGTGACAGATACAATCGCACAAGCTGACAGAATAAGACTTTTTTTTTTTTCGAATGAATGAATAAGTTTTTTTTTTCCGTTCATTTCTATTCACCCGCCGCTCTCGTTGCCTCAGCAGTAGAGCCGGGCCGCGGGAGTATTTGGATGGGGTTGCATCATAAATTAATAAGCCGCCGCACGTTTAAAATAAAGAAATAAATAAATAAAGGCGCGTTCGCTTTCATCAACAGTCCGAAGACTCTCCCGTGGCCCTCGCTCGTTCATTTATAATGCAGTGGAGGCAACCTGAGCACAATTAGAAACTAAATGAACTGATCAGCATCCCGTCGTGTGTGTCACACAAATTGGCTCATCTCTCTACACTCAGCCCTAAATCCTCCAATTACAGGACTCAACACAAAAACAACAATGAGATTCACAAGCTCACACGATTAACACACAGGGAGAGAGAGAGAGAGAGAGAGAGAGAGAGAGAGAGAGAGAGAGAGATGGAGCCAGGGAAAGGAACATAGGAGGAGATAGAGAAAAAGAAAGATAGAATACATACATACTATATATATATATAGGAGTCATTCTAGCATTTACAGATATAGTACACTTGAAAAACATGTTAGGGTTACAATTTATTTATATTTTAAAATAAAACAATAAGTTATTTTAACAGTTACACCTTCTTGAGACTCAATTTAGCAATATTAGTTTTTAAATCAATCATATAGAATTCCAAGCACCACAGAAGAGCTCGTCCTCACAGTCATGTGTGAAGGCGGAGGCCACATTTTGAGGTAAGAAAACATGTTTTTCTACCATTTTAACTGCAATAATCTATACATGACTATGAAACTATGACTATGATTTGAATGACATAAAGAAACAAATGCCAAATAAATATTATAAAATATATAATGAAAGTTGTTGTCCCCAGGAGTCGTGTCACTGGTGTTACTGCGTAACAAAAAATCTCTTATTTTGAAATAAAAGTCACAATGATGACATCACTTGACTTCTTTTACCTGTTTTCTGAGGATCTGTGAAGAAAAGCACATGGTGAGTCCACTGCGTCTTTCAGTTATCAGAGATTTTCTCATTCAGCTCATGATTTCATATGAAGCTTTTAGCTGAAGTCACTGGTGTGACCGACTTTATTCTGAGGTAACTGTGAAAAAATAGAATACAAATGGATTAAATTACATATTTTAGTGGATATTCCATGATTGACAACATGTGGTTTGATGCTCTGTAGCAGTTATTTTGTAAAATGCATTGTTCATTAAAATGTCTCTGGTGTTCCTTTATTATGTGGAACACCAATGAGGATCAGTAACACCAGTGACTCCTATGGAGAGACAGAAAAGTGGACGTTTCTGTAGAATGACCCAGCTATATATAAATGTTGTAATTACACTCATTGTCCATTTTATCAGCTCCAC